CTCAGTTTACCTGTGCCTCTCACTTCTGTGACTGAGGCAGCATCTTGCTGTTAGTTCGTCAATCAGATTGATACGGATATAGGTTGGCAGGCACCCTCTGACAGTCACTGAGATTAAGACATCACCCAGTTATTGTTACTACTAAAGGGCATTAATGGAGGTGCTAAAGGCTCTTCCTCCCTCATTGTCCAGTAGTCAAGCAAAATTCAGGGGACCCTTGCAACACAGGTCACCCCCGAAAATGAGGTCAGAGAGAAACACAAGCCTTGTTCTGCATGCCAGTAAGACATTACCCTCACTTAGATTTTCTGTTACTACTTAAGCCTTTTACCTTTGCACACAGGAGGCGAGGAATGAGTTTCTACTGTTATGTCTTGCTGACCAGTCAGCTAAGTTTATTCCCTCTTCTCCAACACGCGGGCTTTCGACTGCAGCATTGCAAACCCCATTAATAACACTACATCGGTTTACTTCAGAGAGCTTCAAGAAACTGGAGGAAAGACAAGACGCCGGGAGAGGGGCTCTCGACTCAGAGGCATGAGAAGAGCTTGCAGTGAGCTCTCTCCCCACGCACCTCTCTGGGGCAGTAAGCATTTAACCTTCTAGTTGTCAGCGCTGTGGCCCCCTCCCACACTGCTGGATCGCACAAGCGAGCTTTGCTTTCTCTTCGTGCCCCAACTGACTCGGCAGGGTCGTGGCAGGTGGACTCTCACCTTTCTAAAGCAGAAACTCCAGATCAAAAGAGAAGGGGAGGGTGGAGGGAAAAGAGGCAGAGAGGGGAAAAAACAGGCAAGGAAAGCATCTCCCCCTCGTCTCTTTAACCTGGTATCCACTTTTCCGAGTTAAAGCCTACACCAGTCCGACACAGGGAGATTTTATGGCAATTCACGCAGTCACGCAAGGCAGCACTGACTGCAACGAAAGTGCGCGGCGGCATTTCCACGGCCTCGGATGAAACCGAAGTTGGCCCGGTGGCGACACCCGCTAAGGCCACTAGAGCTGATGGAGGGCCCGGTGACAGAGCTGCCGGCGTCAGGCACTTCCTTGCTGGCCGCGCCGCTCGCCGGGGCAAGCCGCGGGCGCCGCCCGTGTCCCCAGCGCGGTCACCGCCGCACGGCGCTTGCCAGGCACGCCCGGGCTCAGAGACTCCGCACCACCCGGCCTTGAAAAGCGGCGGCGGCCCTCGAGGGAGCCACCCCCGGGCAGAGAGGAGGCGCCGTCCCGAGAGCGCCCGCGGGCCCCAGCCCCCCTTTGTGAGGCAGCACACGGGTAGGGGGGCTGAGCTGCACCCGGCACCGGCGGGAAGGTGCGGGACAGGCCGGGCAGCAGCGCCCTGCTCGGGCGCCCCCTGCGCGGGGCAGCTCCCTCCGTCCCTCCGTCCCCGCCCGCCGCCTCCCGCGCCCAGGGCGCCCGGGTGGAACCGGCCGCGCGCCCGCGCTCCCACCTACCGTCCTCCTTGTCCAGCACCATTGTCCCGGGCGCCGAGGGCGGCCGCCGCCGCTCCGGCTCCTTGGGGCGCTCCCCCTCCAGCCGCCGCCGCGCGGCTCCCGGGGAGGCGAGGCGCCGCGCTGAGCCGGGCCGGGCCGGGCCGGGCCGGGGAGCGGGGCGCTGCCGAGGCGGAGGGCAGCAGCGCGGCCGCCCCGGCGCTGCCCCGGGACGCGAGTTCGGAGCGGGGCTGCGGCGGGTTACGGTCGCGCTGTGCGCCGGAGAGCTGGAGCGGGGCTGGTGCACCAGCCGACTCGCCCCCGGCCCCGCCGCTGCAGCTGAGGTGCCAGTTTAGTTATTAAAATAGGAGGAAGGTGGGGGGGGGGGGGGGGGAGGAACAAAACCCAGGGCGGGCTCCCCAGCTCCGTCCTTTCCCAACCTGCGCTGTCAAAAATTGTCTTAATGTAATCGCGTGTGATCGCTCACAACCTCTCCCCCCCCTTCGCTGTTGCTACTGCAAGAGCTTTCCAGGCTTCTAAAGTGCTTTTCTCTTGATTTCACTCTAAATCTAAAATTATATTCAAAGGAAGGGGGGGTGGGAGGGAGGAAAGATGTGAACCTATCACTGAAAGCAAAAGCACTTGCCGCCTGCCTCGCTCACTCGCTCTCTCTCTCAATTTATGTGCTTTGCACTCTCTCCTGCTGCTGAATAAATGCACACATTTCCCAGGGACCCTCAGATTCCCCTGTTAATTAAATCAATTCATTATGCTCAGATCTGATTAGCAGCCCCTTCCCCCCCTCTTTGAATCAATTATTCAATACACAAACATAATTGCCTGTGCCAGAGGTGTCTAAGTATTAGCTTATTTAACTCCAAGGACACTAATTACCCCTAGGGCAAGGGAACTTTTCTCATTAATTTTGACAAAACACAAAAGCACAGTTAAAGTGTGTGTGTATATACGTGTGTGAGAGAGAAAATGGGGGAGCGTATAGCTGAGGAAGGGAGCATTACTCTAACACACGTGTTACTGTATAAATAAACTCAATTTTCTTTCTACCTTTGCTTCAGATTATTCCCCACATCTCCCCTTCACTAAACTTGCCCCAGCTGCACCCCCCCCTTTTTTTTTTCTTTTAAGTAAAGAACAGATGGGCATTGCAGTTGCTAGTGGTGACAGTTCTGGAGTGAAAGTGCTTGCAACCAAATCCAAAGAGTAAAAAGTATGTAGGACTGAACGGGAGCGAAGCAGAATTTGAAAATAGTTTTTGTTTACCAAAGCAGAAAACTCCCTCAGACAATCTCCTGTACTTTAAAAACCTGTGAAAGAAGCGGCCCTCTGAAGCAGCAAGTAAGATGATACATGATCTAGTATGTACTGGGAACAGTTCTGAATTGTTTACCATTTGAATTAATGTCAGTGCCCACTATTAATGTACTTGCTTCCTACATTTACCATAATGGGCTTGATTTCCATTAGCTGAAGCTGGAATGCTAAAAAGAGCCTAGGCAAGACTGATGCAAACTGAGATCGACCATCACTATAGTATCTGAGACGCATGACTTCTGGCTTGCATGTTACCCAAATGTTACCTCTGTGTGAACCTCCTTTAAATAGAAAAAGGGTAAGAAAAAAGAAGTAGTAATTGATTCCCCCAAATTAGGTTTTTACTTTCTAAAGACCTTTATTGTTCATGTCCTCAATGCGCACGGAGTATTGAAGATTTTCTTTTTGTTTCCTTAGGCAATGCATGAGCTGATCCATTAATCCATTTGGCTTTATATATCAGGAAACTAATATTAGCTCAGCTCATCTATTAGCTTTTATTTAGGTCCCCCCATGTAGCCTTTTTTTGGACTTTTGTTCAGGCTTGTTCCCCTTGAGGGGAGACTGATAGTTTTCGATAGATTTCAAGGGAGAAAATGCTGCAGATCATCTCATGGGAAGTGTCCCCTCCCCAGTTCCCCATCTTCACATTCACCCATGTCAAGACAACCGTGATTAAACTTGCTTGTTTGGCAACAATACCCACACCTTAAAGCACACCTTGTCACATCACTTAAAGCCAAGGGGGAGGAAAAACAAACACCTCCTTTGCTCCTTCACCAACACCCTATAGCTAAGCTTGCTTGGCAACAAACTTACTGGGCTACGTTCATTCTTTGCAAGCATAAATACGACAGGGAACATAAACTTGTGTTTCATTAGTGCAGTGTGGTTTCCTGCAAGTACACGTATATAAGGATAAAATGCCTTCAGCTTTGTTACACAACAAACCCTGTTAATTCTCTGGTCTTTAATTTCCACTGCATGGCACATACTGCACCCACAGGAACTTGGTCCATCTAACTCAATGAATCTTTTTTCGGTTCTGCCTTTTTTTTTCTTCTCCTGAAAGAACACAGCAGCACTCGAAAGATACTGACCCTGGAGAACATCATGCATCGACTCATTTGTGAGAGTACTTTTGGTCCTTGAGCCCATTCCTTTTCTCACTGTGGCCATGGAGACTTCTGGGTGCAAAGCCAGAATCTCAGGACCTTAGTATACAACTCTTGAGCCTTAATTCTGAGTTTGCTACAGGGGTGATGCAGTTTCATCTCAACATACACTCACCAAGTAACAGGTGTTTCTCTCCATGCAAGGTCACTGTTGGGATGCCAAGAGTAGAAGAGGAAGAAACTGAGGAAACAGATGTTGACTTTGGTATTGTTCTTATGAAGTGATGCTCACACTTGAGCTGAGAGAGATATGGCCACTGCAGATGAAAAAGAAAGAGGTGGAGAGTAAAAGGCAAGAGAGTAATTTGCACATGTGCATGCACGTGAGGGAGAGTCACACAGGGGAGAAAATAATGCAAAAAAGTACAAGCCCCAAATTATTTCACTCCCAAACATACATCCTGCAGTTTGAACAGTCTGCTCTAATCCTACAGTTACAGTCGTAGGGATTTTTAGGTTTACAGCTTTAATAAGATGAAGGAATGAACCCCCATGTAAAGGTCCCCACTTTAAGTAAATGACTTTTTTACAGTGTGGTGAAGCATTGTTCTGCATGGTTTTCAATTATATCTGCTCAGCGAGTAATGTCAGAGAAGTGAGCAAGTTTCAGTAATTTTTGAGCCTCCTTCACCCAGTAGATTAGAAATCTCATACAAAGGATTTTACCACGCTTATATTTTAGTACCTTGACACTCGAGAGGAAGAGCTAGATCACTCCTTCAAAAAGCGCTTACATAGGTAGTGGGCGCCATAATGAGTGACTGGGAAAACTTGACATAGATCAGTGGCAGAACTGGGAGTAAGCCTCAGTTCCCTGACCTTCCGTTCTCTGGAACAAAGCTCTAAAGCAGGAGCTTAAAGGAGGACGAGACAGCACGGTCACTGAGGTGCCAGTTTATCACAGAATCACAGAATCCTAAGGGTTGGAAGGGACCTCAAAAGATCATCTAGTCCAACCCCCCTGCAAGAGCAGGGTAACCTAGAGTACATCACACAGGAACTTGTCCAGGCGGGCCTTGAATAACTCCAACATAGGAGAGTCCACAACCCCCCTGGGCAACCTGTCCCAGTGATTCATTAATGTGTGCTGTTATTCATTCAGTTATGGTACCATACACTCACCCTGTCTAGGCAGTTCTGATAAGTGATCATGCTCAATACTGCAGAAACTACAGATAAAAGAGAACAGCTATGCTCTGCCCAGGAAAGCTTCTGGTCTCAAACTAATTCCTGATATTCCTCGTGCAAGAGGGAAGAGGCACACAGGAATAAAAACATCTAAGTGCTGCTGTAAGGGCTAGGGCTCAGGCCTCTGGGTCTAACTTGAGGTGCTTGTTCACTAGCTCTTCTTATTTTTCTTTTGCTAGCCTTGTGCACAAGCATGAAAAAATGAAGTTTCTTAAGAACAATATGCTGTTCTTATTAAATTGCAAAGGAAGTCTGCAATATACCTAAGTCAAGCCTTTAGCAGACCCGTGAGGTTTCATATTATCCTATGCTTGAATGAGGCAGATGACTGGAGCAAAAACCAGCTAATGACATAAAAGCATTCTTCTACTTTCAGTCTCTCTTAATTAAGGACTTGGTTAATGTTTCAGTGCTGGGAATTATAAAGCTTCATCAGGGAGGTTAATATGTTTTTTATTTTATCTTTCAGCTGACAGGAGAAAAAAAAAATCAAAACAAAAAAGAGAAGGCGATTAAGTCATGTGCCAGTCAGAATCCCACAGTGAAGGCAGTATCAGGACATACCAAAGACCACTGCTGCACATGGTGGATTTAGCAGCTATTTCCAAAGTCAGATTTCTGAGCAGATGAGACTTTTGTCTGCCAGTTTAGACACATGGGTTTTATTCCTTGAATTCACACAAATAACCAAGACAGCTCTATACTAGATTAGCTACAAAAGATCTCTACGTTATTAACCATTTCAGAATCACTTGCGCCTACCTTGCTAGTGTTAGAAGAGAGTGACTATGGGCCTGATCTTGTACCGCAATTCGGCAGTCTTGTAAAGGAGGAAAATAACAAGTGCTGTAAAAAGTTATGTTCACACAGAACATGGGCTGCAGTTCAAAAGACCACTTTAATACATACCCAAGATCTACAGACCTCAATTATTTCTAAACTCCGGATTGATATACTTAACTTCTCTGCCTATACATTGTAAGAATAAATCACTCAATTCTATTACTGTGTTTTGCGTGAAATGAATGTTAAATATTTTCATAAATACAGGCTGTTTTTTAAAAAAGAAAATAGTGTGTTAAAATACAGTATTTCTTTTAATAGAATAGAAATGGTGAAACTTCAAAAATAATACCTCTAGAGAGTGAGTCCCTTTTCACCGTGATATAAGGCTGGCACTTTAAGCCATTAGGCTTTACAATCTGTAATGACCTTTTAGAGAAATTTACAGCAGATAAGTTAGTTATTCAGAAGTTTTGCTGCTGCTTTCCATAGTACAGAGTTAAAAAGAATTATTTTTTTTTTTTAATACAAGTATTTAGACCTAAATTCTTGGTCTGCTTCTTGTTTCATAAGAAGTTTAATGGGCAGACTCTGCCCCACCAGAACAGCTCAGCTGGCATGAGAAAGGTCTTTTGAGTAAGTATAAACTACTGGAGGATCAGGTTGGATCTGACACACTGCAGATCCATCAGCATCTTCCAGTACCAATACAGCTAGGGAGAAGGGCAGGTCTAAGGCAGAGGAATCTATGACCCTCCAGGGAAAGTGTACACCTTTTCTAGGAGAAGCCTCCTTTCTACTTCTCAAAACTTTCCCAGGATCAAGTGAGATGTGTTCTTCCACTTGTATGGCCAATCTTTCTCAACAGTGATGTAAAATTTCAGTTCATACTGAAGTTGAGCAAAAGTTCAGGACTGCACCTCTAGCCCAACCTCTCTGAGTAGGTCAACACATGGACTGTGACTCTGCCACCTCTTCACACAGCAGTATCCATGCAGAGTTCCCAGAGTCCTTTCAAGTAAGCGGAAAAGAAGCCTTACACCACCACCTCCACCACCCTCCAAAACCCTTCAAACCCACCCTAAACTTTATTAGTTGTGACTTTTCTGTACGTCCTTCTCTAAAGTTCATTGCTACTGCAATGTTTTCCTACAGGTAGTCCTGCCTGTTATTTCGTACCTTGGTGGGTGCAGTAGGTACACCTGAAAAACAAATCTGGCATCCAGACATCTGCTTCAGTTGTTTTATGGAGGAATCCAGTGAGACAGCGCCTGGTTCTGGAGTGACACATGGAGCTCTCGGGCTTGTTGCCACATCCACTGTTACGATCAGAGATTATTGCTCCCAGCCTGATGTCAAGCAGAGACTAATCAAATGTGAGATGGGTGAACAGAGGCAGAGTCATGGAGCTGGCTCTTCATAATCTGTTACTATTGATCTTCTTTGTACTGCAGCAGCACACAGGGGTCCCAATCATGGAACTAGACCATAGCATATTGTCCAAAAATCTCAGTGCCTTTCTTCAACATGATACTTTATTCACTGTCTTGCTGCTGAAGAGACCAGGCAGAATTAATAGTCTGAGGTGGAGATACATGAACTGAAAAGATAAACTGAAATATCAGGCTCATACTGCTTTGTGATGACAATATGCTGGGATGCTGCCAGTGTTCCCCATGTTTTGTGGCTCCCGCTGACTCTACTTGGAATGGGTGACATTTGCCAGGTCTTCATAACATCATTCTAACAACATATCATCTAAAAATGTTGATTCTGTAGGAAAATGGCTGCTGACACAATAGCAGTAGGTGCACGAAAGGGATATGTCATGGTTGCTGAACCCACAGTGGAGGAATTTCAGCTACTCCCATATCACACATCCAGTGAGGGTCTGTTGCACTGGACTATCTTTTGCACATGATTTCATCAGCATGCAGTTCAGTCTGAATCTAATAGTGATAATCTTCTTCCATTAATTTGTGAGAGGAGAAAACACATCCACAAACCAGAGATTAATATTTTACATTTTTTAAGTAAACCCGTGCTGTGAAATTACAAGGTTTCTTTCCAAATCCAAAGACAGAAACAAGTTCAATGAAGATGAAAGTCACTGAAGATCTTCTGATAAAAGCAGGAAGGTGGAGGCTCTAATGAACGCATACACTACAGTGCACATCTTGCCAACATTTCTTAATGAATAATATGTGCACTCAGATGAGAATAATATTGATTGAGGTCTGCAGGGAAAGTTCTCTAGGAAAAAATTTTATTCTAGGAGCAGAGTTCTCTGTGGAAGATTTTGATCTTTTCCTGCTGCAACCTTTCTCCTCCCCTCTCTTTGTGCTACCCAAAGCAACTGACAGCCAAAAAATGAAAAGCCTGCCCTGCATCTAATGTATCTATCAGATCCAGAAAGAAATGTATATACTGTTACTAAGAATGGCTGCACCATTCTCCTTAGCTGGTAGGGGACACAGCAGTGTGTAATTAGGACTGGATTACTTTACTCAGAACTGGAACAGGGAGCAGATGTCATGCATTAATATTGGCATTTGATTTCACACACTTTCTCTACCGTGTTTGCAAAACAATTTGCCTTCCTATCTTGGATCTTGCCTTGCGTTTACCCTCAGGTTGCTGTAATGCAAGAAAAATTCACCAATGACACTATGGGTGTACATGTAGAAGGACAGGCCTATACAGAGTGAGTAGAGTTTATGATTTAATTCCTAACATAAAATATCAAGTTATTTTCTGATTATGTTGATAAGATTAATATGGCCAGTATGTTTTACTAGATGCCAGCTCAGACAAGAGGTCATGCCATTGTTAAGTCAAGCCAACAGTAAAGAAAGATACAACTTATTCCACATTAATGTTATCAGACACTATCTGTATTACGAGGGATGCATCTCTCTTCTCAAACATAGCCAAGATTTTCTTCACCTGTTTTTCCACACAGAGGACTTCAGTTTTGATTTTGCTCCAGGTCAATGTTTCATATACAGAATCCTTCCAGACGGCCCACAACAAAATTTCATGCTGTTAAAAATATTTGCCCCAATTCTGAACTGCAGCCAGCTTGCATTTGATAGCACCTTTATGGCTGCAACTGGGTTCTGGAGGTTTCTTAGGAGTGAAAGATGATCTGCTTTAATTTAGGAGCATCCAGAGGCTAATTACAATGGCCTATACTACAGCAGAATAATCATAATATACCAGGCAGCAGGGAGCCCAGCAGAGTGATACTGACAAACTCTAGCTTCATATACGTGGGTACAACCCAAAGAGAATACCACTGAAACTCTGCTGCAGTGGTATGTTTGGTTTCAGCATCTGCTTAACTTGGTGACGGAGGATGCATATCAGACCCAAATCAGTAACACCAGCAACAAACTTGTAACATACCTATACACTCATTTGTAGGTGGCAACACCTGTTAGTATCATGCAGGGCATTACCTACACAGACGCTTTGGGAAGAGCAGCCAACTCCTCTATCCAGACCTATGTAAACCCACCGCAACTGCCTTTATTCTATTGTGATACTATCCACTGAGGAAGGGTGTGCATGTGACTGCTATAACAGAGCCACAGCAGAGAGACTGAAAGACTTCTGCCCTTGTCCATTCCCCATGAAAAATTATCCCTTTTTATGCCTACTCCCTGGATGCAATGGTGGCAACTCCTCTAGTGGAGTTGTGTTGGACATCTTAAAAAAATGACAAATTACCTTAAAAAAATTAGGAAAACACTACTGAAATCAGATGGGCAGATTCACATTCTTCTGGTCCATCAGCAAATGACAGAAGTGTAAGACCTGCTATCCTAAGACAAGTAAGCAACTGGAGTGAAATGGTAGTGGTTGCCACAGTTCTCCTTAAGCAGGTGAGAAACTCAGTCTGAAAGCTATAAAGATAGCTACTGAAATGGTTTCATTCTCCGAGTGAGAGCTAGAAAAGCTCTGCTTGCAGGGAGGTCAAGAAGTGAGAGCCCAGTGGATCATTTGTTGTGGTTTTAATGCTTCATGGCTCAGGGTCAGTCAGAAATCCCTATCCTAAGGTCACGGTTAGGGCAGTCTGGAAAACAATCTTGTTTGTTTTCTGTTACTGGCAAGGCCTTGCCCAGGCTCTGCTTTTCCTCTCTCTCACAGCAGATTATTTCAGCCTACTCCTCCTGCTCATCATGCTATGGTTAATTTCACCCTAGGCACTGACATTCAGCTTCTCCAGGATCACAGTCACCCAAAGGATCTTTCTTCCCTGTAGCAGTCCATAGTGTTGCAACGTGATGCAACAAATAGCCAACCAAAGCTAACCCTGGGTAGCATTCAGAGGAGTAAAATTCCATACCATGCCTATTGATAAGCAAGCAGCAATATTAATTTTTAGCTTCAATTTTAAATGGCATCAAGGAGGCAGAATGAGGAGCATGGGTGGCAGCAAAGTTGTCTGTTAACTAAATGAGTCCTATTTCTACTGCACTAGATAGCCCCTTGCCACTGCAGCAGTGTGGCTACACTTCACAGATGGCAGTGTGACATGCAGTGATAATCATCTGTCTCCTAACCTGCTTAGGAGATGGTTTGACTTAGAAGAAGCTGAGAAGCACACTTTAGAGGGCTTGCTAATAACTACATCTGTTTTAAATAGACATACTTTAACTACATCTTCCATACCAAACAGTCATTGGAGTCAAGCGATCACTTTAAAAGGCAGAGATACAACTTTGCAGTATTTTACAATGGATTTAATAGCTAAGCCTTAAAATAAAAAATACCACCATGCAAACACACAGCTGAATCATAGGCATTTAATGAACAGCACTCACTGCTTAAATGCGAATTCACACTACAACAGTCTTGCAGATGATCTATAATACCCTGTATTGCTAGTATATAAAATTTGCATAAATATACCTCAAATATTTATAAATCAATAGATATAAGCACACATTTAAAAGTGAGGATCAAAAGTACATTACACACAGAGTTCTTACACACTCTAATTAATTTAAATAATCACATTTTGCCTTATTAAATTAAACATTACATGGATAAAATATAGCTTGCCATCAATCCTAAGCACTAAAATACTGCTAGAAAAGAGTACTACTGCCAACAAACAGAGAGAGAACGCACCCATAGAAGAACACTTAACTGAAATGTAGCTGTAAGATCTAATGCCATGGAATGACTAACAATAATGTATATATTACTTTTAAAAAAGCAAGCAATTTTGGGTAACTTTCCACTTCTTTGTCTGGTACTCCAGTTTCAGCCTAGTGAGCTGTAACTGTGCAGGATAAGCATAAAGCAGCAAAGAGTCTGCTAAAACAGTTGCACATTTAAAAAAGGTCTCCTCAGAAGCAAGGATAATTCCTTATTTCCTCCAGCAGCTTATTTACTGGAGCTTCCCTACCCTCATGTAATTAGAGCTAAAAAAACATCTGCAACAACCATCCCTGATATTTTTTCAAATTCTTTCCAACTAAGATTTAGCAAGAGGTACAAAGAAGCACTGACGGCTGTGTAGTTTGGAACAAATTTCTTGGTCAGTCCCACTTTAGAGCTTTTATATACCTAAGAAGTCTACTCTGCCTGAAAGACAGTGATTAAAGTATTTAAAGAGTACAGAGATTTTTACACAGAGTAGTATGATGCTCAGGACCAATTAAATGTAATCTTAAGTACTTTAACTGAGGCATGTTTTATACACTAGGAATCAGGTAAATGGAAGTTGCCAAATTAAACTTGCATCTTAATTTTGCTGTTAACTAATTTCAAGAGATTATGCATCGTAATTTAAGAATGATTTGAGAAAACTTTTAGTGGAACAGTCTCTGTTAAGATGGCTTCAGGAGCACTGCAGAAGTCTGAAAAAAGAAAGCACACAAGGGAAATTTGGCATACTCAAGAGCAAATAGTTGCAAACAACAACAACAAAAGTGTTGCAATTAAGCCCCAAATGATGCAGGTGGCATCACATGAGGGGGTCTCAGTCAAGAGAAGTCTCAGTCTGCACAAGGACATTAAGTGAGTTGGTTCATTTTCAGGCAAAAGCAATAAAATCCAGATTTTTCTTTCTCCAACATGCGACAAGTTAATTTGCCACATGTAATAACATGATGTAGTGATTCACATGCCCTTTCTTTGATGAATGCTTTTCTCAAGCATATATGACTTTGACAAATTCTAGGGAGAATGGGATATAATAAAGCTTTTGGGAATGAGGCAGGAGGTCTTGCAGCTAAAACACTGGACTGGAATTAGGGAGACTTGGCATTTATTCCAGTCTGGTATATGTTTTCCATGCAACTTTCATACAAAATCTCTTAGGCACCAGAGCAAAAGTCAGACTGATGAAATTCTTCATAAATGTTTAGGTGCTCTTGGCAGAAGCATTTGTGGGGGTGTTGGTCGATGAGAAGTTCAACACTACCCAGCAGTGTGCACTTACAGCCCAGAAAGCTAACCATATCCTGGGCTGCATCAAAAGAAGCACTCTATGATTTATTTAGAAAACTAGTGGCTAGATGGCTAAATAGATGACCTATGAGCATAATCCTAGGCTAACCCAACCCTGGCCACCCATCCCCATGCTGTCTTTTGGAAGGATTGTTGTTGTTGCTATTATTATTTATTTATGTATCTATTTACATAGATTATGTCAGTGACTGGGGCTAAGGAATGGTCCAATAACTAGAACGCAACTTCAAGGACAGCACTTAGAATATTGAAGGGAAAGAGAACGAATGGGCTGGCTCTGCTGAACACCTGTGTCCTGTGTGTAGGTCCTCATGTCTGTGTACCCCACGCTACAAGCAGACATACACTTGACACAAAATGGTACAGTGGTGACATCTTTCTTCATAATATGGGCAAATAGCCTGACTTCTCTTCTTATAACAAAATACACCATCGTGACCCCTGAGATCATTCCCTAGGAGATGGGAGAGCTGGTATAATTCTTTCATGTGCTTGAGATGTCACCTGGACCAACTAACTAACCAAATAGTCTCTTCTATCTTAGGGTGTGCTCCTGCAAATTCTCCTGTTTAATTTATGTGTAATCATTAATAAAACATTGGGCTGGAGGATAAAGCATTACTCCAGGTGATGGAATAGGTTACTCATCCTGGTTTCCACTCCCTGCTTTGCAGATTCTCTTTGTGTTTTACATTAAACAGTCTTTGGCTAATCTGTCACCACTGGCATAGGGATTCAGCCCCATGTCACCCTCAGATGACTAGAAAACAAGATCTTTTTTCCGCTTCTCTATGTTTGCATCCATGGCCATTTGAAACGGGAAAGCTCCATTCAGAAGAATGGAGAAAGTCCTTCCTCCTAGGATGCTTAATAGAATAGGGAGGAGGGTCTCTCCTTGGAGATGTAGATTTGGGTAGCTCAGAAGAAGGGACTAGCCCACAGGTCCCACCCTGCTTGCATAAGTACTCTGCCCACTGATGCATGGCACGAGGAAGACAAAGTGACTTGCTCAGGACCATAAATATGTGCCAATGCCAAGCATAGAGTTTGATTCTTAGTCCTTTGCTTTTCTGACAGAAGTCTGTCTTTCACCTTACTTTTATGCACTAACACTTGCTTAGTTTTCTCATTAG